ACCAAATCATCGGCATACATAACGTGATTGAGCGGGCCCGCTCACCATCATGAAGGTCCTTAATGATCGTGAGCAGAGGGTCAGGGACTCCAAAAGCACGAAGAACAACCCAGAGCCCAGGCCTACTGATGGTATCATAGGCCTTGACCAGGTCAATAAAGCAGATATGTAGGTCTTGTTGGAATTCCCTACACCTCTACTGTAGCAGACGAACAGAAAATATGACATCTGTGCAGGACCGCCCTTTCCTGAAACCGCATTGGGGCTCCGCAAGCCTCTCCTCAGCGTGCCTGGCAAGGCAATGTTGAATGATCCTTGCCAGGACCTTCCCCGGCACACTGAGGAGTGAGATGCCCCTGTAGTTGTTACAGTCTGTGTGGTCCCCCTTCTTAAAGAGGGGGACCACCAGGGCATCCTTCCAATCCTGCGGAACCTGTCCAGTGGTCCAGACTGTTGTTATGATGTCATATAGGGCACTCTGTGCACAAACGCCACCCTCCCTCAGCATTTTGCTTGGGAGATCGTCTCTACCCGGTGCCTTTCCTGGTCTCAGACTCCGGATCGCCCTCAGTACTTCCTCAACAGATGGCACCTCACCCAACCACTCACAGTGGGTGACTTCTTCCAATATTTGAGGCACTGCAGCCTCAGCGGTGTCATCCCCACTTTGTGCCACGATGTTTTCCTGGCTGAGGGATTTCCCCTCCCCCAGGACCTCACATAAATGCTCAGCAAATCTGCAAACCTGTTCCTGGGGGTCGGAGATTGGATCACCGTTTTTTCCCCTAATGATGGTAATAGGTGTGGCGCTGCAGGTTACTTTTTTGATGGAATTAAATAGAGATTTGTGATCACGGGCCACTGAGGCAGACTCCATCTCCTCAGCAACCCGCGACCACCACCCATCCTTGCAGCGCCTCACGGCTCTCCGAACCTCTGAGCGGTAAGCCTCCTCATTCTCTGACGTGGGATTCTGTAGCCGATGACAGTGGGCCTGTCGCTTTTTCTCAACCATCCTGAACACCTCCTCTGTCAGCCAGGGTCTCTGGGGAGGTCTGGACCGCGTACCCAAAGCAGCCATTGCAGCTGCATGAGTCACAGTCCTAAACCTCGCCCATTTACCCTCGACATCAGGAGTAGTGGAGGATGATGCCAACCCCAGCCGCAAGCGATGATGAAATTCTCGCTTGCAACTTTCATCAGATAACTGAGACCAGGCCACTTTAGGTTGGAATGGGGTCCTGGGTGTACACCCACCACCGGAGTGGAAGAATAGCAGGTGCATCTTACAGATGACTAGTCGATGGTCAGAGGGCAGATCAGCTCCACGGTAGGTCCTGGTGTCAAGCACATGGGCTCGCATCCGCTGGTCCGTCACTATGTAGTCCAGCAGATGTTCCTGCTTGGACCCGGCATGCATCCATGATGTTGTGTGGATGCGCCAATGCCAGAACAGCGTGTTGGTAATTACAAGCCCATGGGCTGCACAAAAATCTAGCAGCCTCCTACCATTGTTATTGAGCTGATCTGGCCCATGCCCTCCAATCACTCCAGATCAGGTGCCAGCATCATGACCAACTCGGGCATTAAAGTCACCCAACAAGATGACTCTATCCCGAGGGGCCACTTTAGCCAGCACCTGTGACTGTAGGTCATAGAAGGCATCTGACTCATCGGCTTTGCCTGCATCCCTCCACGGATGTTCGTCTTCGGTGGGGGCATAAGCAAACACGGCCACCACTCCTCGCCTCCGGTTGATGGGAAGGCGAGCCCAAAGTAGCCTGGGGCTTACAGCTTCCCACACCTCACCGCCACGCTCCCACGCCCCCTTCATTATTTTGTTCAAAAGAAGAGCCACACCCTGTTGTTTAGCAGTCTGCTGCCCCGAGTAGAGGACTGTCCACCCCTCATGGTGGCAGGAGCCAGAACCGGTCCACCGGACCTCCTGAATGCCACAGAGCTCCAGGTGGTATCGGTCCAGCTCCCGACAGAGGACTGGCAGCCTCTCCTCCGCAGTGAGATTTAGAACATTCCACGTGGCCATCGGTAGTGGCTTTTCATTTTTTCTGTAGGAGCCCCGAGGGTAGAGATTCAATCTCCTGGCTCCGCCAATTGGGGTTTGGCCAGGAGACGTCATAGACGCCTGTCCCCCCGGGGCCTCCGGCACAAGCTTATTAGTTACATATTGTAGTCGTAGTTTAGTGGTAATTAATTGAAGGTGGAGGGGTTACCAGCCCCTCGCACCCGTCCAGAGCCCCCATTTAGCCACTGTGGTGGTCACAGATGTCATGAGGGGAGGAACCAATCGGAATTGGCCCTCCCCCCACAGCACTGTCCACGACAGAGTTGCCCATCCGGCACCGTGAGGAGGTAGGGGGTTGTATTGCCGGACACGAACAAGCTACTACCATGCCATGTTACGGATGGGATTATTTTTTTCTAAAATACATTTTTATCAGACTTACAGCTCGAGTTGTCTGGGGTTGAGCTCTTGAAAATATTTATGTCCCCCCCCCCCACTCCCAGGATATATTCCCGGAGAAATGAACCTTCGGGTAACTACACATACTTCGTAAGACGTAAGAACGATAAGGAAGCTGCTGCTGCTGCTGCTTTAACCGTGGCGTCGTGCTGCTCTGCTGCAGGCACGGTGCACAAGGGCAGTGGGGAGAGCGTGCTGGTGTGGCAGCTGCCCCCTGTGATCTCCAGCGTCATGGGCAACGGGCGCCGGCGAAGCATCTCCTGCCCCAGCTGCAACGGCGTCGCCGAGGGCAACAAGCTGCTGGCCCCCATGGGCCTGGCGTGCGCGCCCGACGGCAGCCTCTACGTCGGTGACTTTAACTTCGTGCGACGCATCCTTCCTTCGGGAAATGTCACGAGCGTCTTTGAATTGCGGTGAGGTGTCTCAATCTGACCGCGGCATCGTTACGTATTTGTACTCGCTGCATCAACACTTCTTATTCTTCTAGGGGATGGTTAAAAACAATATTTTTTTTTAAAGCACAAGGAGATTGAAATGATCCAGGGCAATGGAAGAAAAAAATCCAATACATGTGTTAAAGTAATAATAATATTTGTTATGTATTGGGTAGAGAAGACACACATGCTGCGTTAATATCCAGACAACAGCCCGTTCTAAAAGAGCTTTTTTACATACATCTAGTGATATAATTGATGGCAATGCCCAATAACGAGTTAATTAATTAACAGACAATGACATGGGGTTTTTTGAGCATCATATAGCCGAATTCCTTGTGGATACTGCGATATTATTAAGTCAGATAGCGTTGATCCAAGGACATGGATGTTTCCCCACCGCTCCTAACATTGCGGCAGCTGTGACAACAGCCTGATTCATTATACCGAATGTGGCTTTTTTCAAAATAATCTTTCGCATTTTATTTCACCGTTCCCAAGAGACAATATTTTTTGGTTGTTGGTCATTATTTTGTGAAGGTTGTATTCCCCATCACTCTTCGCCACGTCTGGCGGATTCCACCTCTGCCCAGATTTCCATGGCGTCACCTCTGTAGGTCCAAGTTGCACACAGACACTGTCTCATGTCAACTAATGCCAATTAAGGAATGGGAGCGGAGAGTTTGTACGGCTTACATTGTACCACTGTAAGCAGGAATCCATTTCTCGTGGAATATTTCCCAGGGCCCCTCAACCCTGCCCACCCCCTCCCCTCCCACCCTCCAGACAATCTTGGAAAGGATACATTTTCTGGAACTCTGCCCCTGACAGCTCGGGCTGAAATTAAGCCCTGGGAGTAATATTTCAAGCGTAAAGGGCCTTTTTATATTAAAGATTTTGCCCACAAGTATTATTATCTTTGCTTTTTTATTATCTTGGCCACCCGATATTTTAGTAGGGGGGGCTAAAGTGTCTCATTTTGTACAAAGTGGATGTTATTCTTTATAAAACCTGAATTAAATTTATATGAAACCTTAAGCTTCATATGGCCTGGCATATCTGAAATTTTTTCGAACTAATCAATTAGTTCCCAGCAACGATGCTGGTGCAACTCGAAATTTCTGAAGACAATTAGCAATGTAATTACGCAGCGCTAATGAATCGCAAAACGGATTGTGTGGTATGGTCATACATAACGATCACACATTTTTTTTCTAAATGTTAATGAATAAATGATTAATGTGATGTACTTTCACAGGAGATCAAATACATTTGCAGGTGGCGTAATTTAGTTTAAAAAAAACTGTTATACATGGTATTTTTGAACAGTTGTGTGTAATGGAAAAAAAAATCGAAAAATAGTTCATAGCTAAAAACGTATTCTTTGGTTCTTTCGGTAAAGTCACGTAGATAGAAAAATAATACAAATAAAGTGAAAAAAATACAAATATTTTTATACAAATTATTTTATTTTATTTTTATAAAAATATATTTTTTTATTCACTTTATTTTCATTATTATTTTTCTATCTATGTGACTTTACCGAAAGAACCAAAGAATATGAATGCCTGCAGTCACGAAAGTTTAAGTCAAAAATGTTTAAGCTAAAAATGTAGCTTATGGAATTTGGTGTCATGTAATTTTATTTATTTTAAATCCCTAACTTCCTCAGACCTTTTCTTGCTGCAGTGAACGCATATGTGAGATCGTGAGCATGGAGTTGAGTGGGCATGTGAATGGGTGAGTGGGTAAATGGATGGGTGGGTATGTGACTGGGTAAGTGGTTGGTTGGTTGGGGTGAATAGGTGATTGGATGGTTGGGATGAGTAAGTGGATGGGTGGGTTAGTGAGTGGGTGGTTGAGTGGATGGGTGACGAAAAAAGTGGATTGATCGGTGGGTCAGTGATTGTGTGGATGAGTGAGTGGGTAAATGTATTGACAGGTGGGTAAATATATGGGTGGGTGAGTGGATGGGTGAGTGGGTGAGTTAATGAGTGGGTGGGTGAGTAATTGAGTGAGTGGTTGGATTAATATATGGTTCTGTGGGTGAGTGGGTGGGTAAGTGTGTGTACTTTCCTACTCGTGCTTGATCTATTGCCTCCTCACTAAACTGTTCCTTGTTGTCCTTTGTTTCTGTGCCACTGCCTTCCCTGTTTTCAGGAATAAAGATTTCAGGCACAGGTAAAAAAATTACATTTCAATAGATTACATTTTAGATCTATTTATTTATATTCACCAACTGTGCACAATTAAGCCTCTTGGCACGTCTGACCATCTTCACAACAAAACAGTATTCATATTGTGGGTCCTATGTAGCCAGAAATGCACACATTACACACACACATACACCTATATAAAACGTGATCAAACTGTTTGAAGAACTGTAAGTCATAATTACCATCTACTTACTCTTCAATGTAGTATTTGATTGACATATCAAAACAGGAAACTTCAATATAAACCCATCGCTAAGTGTGTGCAATTAACTTGCAGTACAGGGTATCAATACAGCTATCGTGCATTATTAATTATTTTTAATTACACGACGATTTGTAATTGGTCAATATACACTGTACGGCACACGCACGTTGTCGTATGAGTATTTATCAGGTACGTTTCATCCCTCTTATCCTCCACACGTCCACCATGGCATTGGTAACACAACTCATATCCAGATTTGAGATGGTCCCAGATGTTTGCGCGAAATCACAGTCGTGATTGTTTCAAATGCTTTCGAAATAAGTGCTGATTTTTTTTTTGATCACTCAAGATCTTAGTTGTTCACTGTTTTTTTTTCAAAACTTCACAATTCAACCACGCAGTTCAAACTGTACTAATTATAAATTTTTCTTTCATATAATTGCTCGATACCTTCATGCACTCCCTGTATCATGTTTTGTAAACATGTTGTTTTTAAATGTATGTATGTATAACCATACATATGTGCACGCACACACACACATTCAGAAACTAACTTTTAATGATCACACCAGTCTCTATCAGCATGGCTGCAACACTACAGGACAGTGTGTCTATACCATGTCCTATTTCCTGATTTATTTCCATCGTCTTTGCACCTTCTGAGTATTGGATTTTAAATGTCAGATTGTGACAAACTAAATAGAAAGAGAATGCCATTTAAAGATTACCGTAGACTCCCACGAATGTGATCAATTTGTATTCGTGTTTTTATTTGCAGGGTTCACACGTGGTCTTTAAGAACGCATTGACCTTTAATTGCAGAGGGTGTAGGCAGCGCCAATATAAACGCTGAGACATTTGATTTGAAACCCGCATAGTCTTTTCAAAGTCGGCCATATTCACCCGTTCACTTGATCAAATGAAGCAATGATCCTTTCCTAAAATGTAATCAATAACAATATGTATCTGGATAAAAGGATCTGGTATCATGGTAAGGAAATTCAATGAAAGAAGAAAAAAATGAAATAAAAATTTAAACGACCACAGATTATACCTATTACCAGCGTGCGCCCTTACTGTGAAAACCCATCTTTGCGTTGAGAGTTATTTTTGTCTCTGACTTCACCTAAAAAAACAATCCTCAAACTTACCAAAACAGTACCAGATGCATAAGTGAGCAAATTGCTTGGAAGTGAAAAGTTTATTTTAAAATTATGTAACCCAGAAAAACATATATATATAACTCGCACACGCATGGGAATGAAAAATGACATTGGCCAAAAAGAGAGAATTACTGCTGGGATTTGTAATGGCAAAGGATAGACCTCAAGTAAGAATAAGGTGTAGAACATTTAAATCACTTGGTATGCATTGCTTTTTATCATTGATCATTTTTATCAAGACAAACAGCAGCAGGCTGCTCATATAAAGGTGTGTTTGTGCAGTAATGTGAGTTGCGAGGAAGACATTAAACACAATGCCATAAAATATTTGGTTCTTTCGGTACAGTCACGTAGATAAAAAAAGAAGAATGAAAAATAAAGTCAATGAAAAGAAAAATTATATAATTTAAAAAAAACATTAATGTAGACTGTAGCCTGGTTCTTAATCGGAGTGAGTGTACTGGCAGTCTATAATGTAGACTAGCCTGGTTCTTAATCGGAGTGAGTGTACTGGCAGTCTATAATGTAGACTGTAGCCTGGTTCTTAACCTTGTTGAGTGTACTGGTAGTCTATAGTGTAGACTGTAGCAATGGTCATTAAGCTGTGTGAGTGTACTGGCAGTCTATAATGTAGACTGTAGCCTGGTTCTTAACCTCGGTGAGTGTACTGGCAGTCTATGATGTAGACTGAAGCCTGGTTTTTAAGCTGGTGAGTGTATTGGCAGTCTATGATGTAAACTGTAGCAATGGTTATTAAACTGAGTCAGCATACTGGCAGTCTATAATGTAGACTTATTCTTGGTTCTTTCCATAATTTGAATATAATAAAAATAAAAACCGCGACGTTTTGATCGCAACACAAGCGGTCGTCATCAGGAAAAGGGGGGTTAGCCTCTAAAGGCAAACTGTTTATAATGGTTTACAGATGGGCGTAGCCCAAGTGTGTCAGCAGCATGGGCAGGGCAGCTCATGTTAATGTAGGAGAAAGGAACGCCAACGCAGTGGGTCTACACCAATCAAAGAGCCGCCAGGCAATCATTTGCACCTCGCTCCACATACCCACACTGCTGATAGTGGATGTTGACAAGAAAACACAAATCAAGTCATGACCCAAAGTGGTTGATGACATCTTTTTAATGATTGCTGAGCTTATTACCATCCTCTCGGTTTAAATTGTGTCTGTATATATGGATGGCTTCATGAACAAATCTTTTTTGATAGCCAGTAGGCTTGCAAGTAACCATCGTCTTAGAAAAATCAATTTCGTGTGAGCCAGCCGCATTAAAATAATGATCAGCCACGGCAGAAGTATTGGTCCTACCGTGTTTCAAATCTGCCTTATGCTCACGAACATGGTCCGAGACATGTCGCTTAGTTTCCCCAATGTAACTGCTGCCGCAGATACAGCTTAATTTTGTAAACGCTGGGATATTGCATGTCAGGAATCTTGTCCTTCACAGATGGGATCAGATCACGAATTTTATGTACTGTGTTATATCGAACCTGGATCTTGTGTTTGTTCATGATTTTGGAAATATTTTTGGTTACCCCTGCTATGTATGGCAAGGTGATGGTTTTGATTGGATCCTCAGATGGATCCTTCTGCAGATTGTGTAGTCAGAATATCCATTCGCCTTGAGAGCTTGGTGTATGTGTTTGAGTTCACTGGTTAGGCGTTCGTGGTCGGAGATACATTGAGCTCTATAGTGTAGCGTTTTGATGAGGGAATTCTTCTGGGATGGATGGTGGTTGGAATCAGGTTTTAGGTAGGCGTCATTATGGGTTACTTTCCTGTAGACAGAATGGCTCATTGAGCCATCTGGTCTCTTTTTGATTAGGACATCCAAGAAAGGTAGCATGCCATCCTTTTCTACCTCCATGGTGAATTTGATTGCTTGGTGTATGGAATTGATGTGGTTGAGGAATTGATTCAGAGCCGGTCGGCCATGTGGCCAGATGACAAATGTGTCATCCACGTACCTCTTCCACAAGGACGGGCGTAGAGTGGATGCCTGGATGGCGTCCATCTCATTTTTTCAATAAAATGTTGGCCACAACTGGAGATAAGGGAGAACCCATTGGAGTGTCCTCAGTTTGTTTGTAGAATGTTCCATTCCAAGTGAAGTATGCATTGATGAGGCAGTGTCTCACCAGGGCCGGTACATCAGCATTCAATCCTTGTTGGACCAAATCTTCAATGATTGCAATGGTATCGGCCACAGGAACTTTGGTGAACAAAGAAACTACATCGCAACTAACGAGCAAATCACCTGGGGACAGTGAGATGTCTTTAATTGACGATACCAGGTGAGCTGAGTAAAGGACAGAAGAGGTGGTCTTACCAGTGAATGGCTGCAAGGTCTCAGACAGAAATCAGGCCAGCTTGTAGGTGGGTGAGCCAATGGTGGAGACGATGGGACGAAGGTGTGTACCTTCTTTATGGATTTTGGTAAGCCATATAATCTGGGTGGTCTAGCAGCAGAAGGTTTTAAGGAAAACCGTTTGGTCTGTTCAATTAATGAAGCTGAATCAGTGATGATACTGTTCGTTTTTGTAACGAGGCTGTTGGTGGGATCTCTTTTAATTTTTGTGTAGCTACTATCATAAAGTAGGTCCTGAATTTATTGTACGCGGTTTTGTCCATGATGACCATGGCATTGCCCTTGTCGGCTGAGAGGATGACGATATCATCCCTATTTTTTAATCGAGATAACTCAAAGCGCTCATCCTTACTGATATTGCTGACTGGTATCTTAGCGCTTTTGAGGGTTGCAGCATTTTCAGACCTTGTCAAGTCTGTAGCGATGGTGTCCCAAACCCTTAAGATCTGGGCAATAATGTCATCCACTGGTATGTGTTTGGGGGTGACTGCGAAGTTCAACCCTTTAGCCAAAACCTTCTTTAGTCCATCGGAAATTGGGCTATTACTCAGATTAATAACAACCTTGTCAACGTCTAACTTTTTAATGTATGGATCTGGTTTCTTCTTGGAAAGGAGGTTGAACTTGTAAATCAGATTATCTTTACATTTAGCTGACATTGTAGCGGCTGATGAAGCAGCCATGTTATCTACATGTTCCCAATCATATGTAGACATTGTTTCTGTCAATGTTAAGTGTGATTTCAAGAGTGTTTTGTCTACATGATCTAGTTCAGTACGGAGCAGTCTAATTCTCTCTGAGATCAGGGCCAAGCTAGCCCTGAACAAAATTCTTTGGCATTGGAAGATGTGACAGCAGCAGAGGTCAGTGTTAATGAGATTGGTATTACCTAAGAGTTGCGGCATCTCTTCAGAAATGTGAGTGACTCGATCAGATGAGCTTTCTTGTCTCGGAGTTTGTTAAAATATCTTATGGGTATGTGAAAACCCTCCCCATAGAGGCGGTTAAATTTTTACTTTAAACTTTTTTTATATATTTTAATTACTGAAAGAACCACGAATAAGTCTACATTATAGACTGCCAGTATGCTCACCGAGGTTAAGAACCAGGCTACAGTTTACATTACAGACTGCCAGTACGCTCACTGAGGTTACGAACCAGGCTACAGTCTACATCATAGACTGCCAGTACACTCACCAAACTTATAACCAGGCTACAGTCTACATTATAGACTGCCAGTACACTCACCCAGCTTAATAACCATTGCTACAGTCTACATTATAGACTGCCAGTACACTCACCAAACTTAATAACCAGGCTACAGTCTACATTATAGACTGCCAGTACACTCACCAAACTTAATAACCAGGCTACAGTCTACATTATAGACTGCCAGTACACTCACCAAACTTAAAAACCAGGCTCCAGTCTACATTAGTGGGTTTTTGTTTTTTATTATTTTAATTAAAAAAAAATTCATTCACTTTTTTTTTCATTATATTTCTATCTGCGTGACTTTACCGAAAAAACCAAAGAATATTCATTCCTGCAGTCACGAAAGTCACAATGCCGTATGTGGATTTTTTTTTAGTCGTCTGAATTTTAACTTTTACAAAACACATTTTCGGGTTTGTTATGTTTTCTGGAAAGATGTTCACATTACTACTCATTGTGGGGTTACATGTGCTGGATGCCAACATACTCAGTGCTAAAATATATCCTCACACACGTATATTTACTGTAAAAACACACACAAAGTGTAACGTCTTTACTTTTACCCAGTTTGATTAAAACTACTAAAATGCTAGCTTTCAATCAGCAATAGCTGTCCCCAGTGGAAAATGGATGTAGAACTATTCCTGGGAGAAAAAAAAAAACATATAAGAACCACTTTGTTTTATCATTTAAATTGCAATCATAAGAATTGAATTCAGAGAGGGGGGGGCCTGGTGCTATCCTAGATTTATCTACAAAACAATCTCACATGCCTTTTGCCAAGGACAGTAAATATGTTGTAATGATAATATACTGTACTCATTTTAAGCAAATTATAACCTCTCATCCTTGTACGTCTTGTGTGCACGTTGCTATTCGGATTTTGATCAATGTTTTGTGAAAATGTCCATTGTCACATCTGAGAGCATTGGAGACTTACGTTTCAAATTATTTGCCATCATCAGCACCTTTTTGGGTTGCACCTCCTTAACCACAGAGTAGAGTCTGGGGCAAACAAGCAAACGGTCCACCGCAGAATGAAAGAGTTCGGAGGCCACTCATGGACAGGAACTGCACAGGCAAAGGAAGTGATTGAAGAAAATAGGGAAGGCCTTCACACAGCTATGGGAAGTTACGAGGGTTACAACAAAAACAACATTATTCGGAAGCAAATTGCCATTTTTGGAAGAAGTTGCTTAGTCTAGTTGCCCACACAGCATTGTCCGTCCACACGTGACTGGAGGATGCTGAGAAAATGAGCGCCACTCTCTACCTTGTCGCGGTGGGGCAGAGCCATCGTGACCCCCATTACATTTCTGGCCAATGGGAGTACCCAGCTGATGACTGTGGTTTTTTTTGTTGCGTTTGACATTCACACATTTTGAAAGTGTTTTTTTTGTTGCAAAAAAAAGCCATCTGAACTAAGCTGGAGAGAGACACTTCGAAATAAAACACAAATGCTGTTACCGCAGGGACTAAAAAATAATACAGTGTATTCTAGATTGGAAAATAAGTGACAGCAGAAAGCGGAAAGTCTGTCATATGACTTGGAAGGTTATGATGATTACATTCTATAGTAAATATATTCTATGTGTTCACGGATTAACGTTGACAATAATTTATCCTTCCAAGTTTGAGATTAAGCGCACACAATCCTGTCAAAGTAACTAGACTTATTTTTTCCTGGCAATAGTCAACACGGCAGATATATGTATATACAGTATATACTTGTTATGTAAATACCATATTCTTGGTTCTTTCGGTAGTCACGTAGAAGGGAAACAATAAAATAATTAAACATATATATAAAACATAATAAAAGTCTCACGACGTTTCGACTGCAACACAAGCAATCATCATCAGGCGTGAAAACCACAGCAAGAAAATGTATGATTTTATTGTTTCCCTTCTACGTGACTTTACCGAAAGAACCAAGAATATGAATCCCTGCAGTCACGAAAGCTTTAAATCAAAATGTAAATACCATTTAACTTTCTAATTACCTCTGGATACTACATCTTTGATATAGCATAAATACTTAGTACTGTATTTAAACAGTTTTTTTGCTGGAAGTGTTCATTCATAAACAATTATAAATATATATTTAAATTTGTGGACTTTATTTTTCATTCCTATCATTATTAACATAACTAGCAGCAGCAGCCATGTATAAGACACGGCTATATTGAAGATCCTAATTATACTGACGCAACTATTTCAATCCATTTGCTCACATACCCGCAGTACACATACCCACAGTACACACACCTACAGTACACACACCCACAGTACACATACCCACAGTACACACACCTACAGTACACCCACCCACAGTACACATACCCACAGTACACATACCTACAGTACACATACCCACAGTACATACACCCACAGTACACACACCCACAGTACATACACCTACAGTACACACACCCACAGTACACATACCCACAGTACACACACCCACAGTACACACACCCACAGTACACATACCCACTGTACACACACCTACAGTACACACACCCACAGTACACATACCCACAGTACAAAAACCACGGTAAACCTGCAGTACACACACTTACAGTATAAATACCTACAGTACATATACCCAGCTTTCATCACCCTCTCGCTCGGTTTTAAGAAGTGTAACGTATAGCTGTACCACGTATTGTTCCGGATGATGTCTGAAGCTCCACTCCACGTGCTGAGAGATTCTTCAGTAACCGAATTCCTGAAAAAAATCTCCCAGCATGGTCAATTGAATGCCATTAATTGGTGCAGAACCTCCACGCACGCGGAGCGAAACGTCGGACATCGTGCCAAACAATGCGCGTAACAGCCGAAAAACGCATCGGATAGCCGAACAGCGCGACTGCAACAAAAAAAATCGAAAACCCCACGCAACGTGTAACATCGGGATTAGCGGTGCTTCTCCGTAGACACGAAAAGGGGCACTGATGATCCTCCTTTTTGCTCATTCCTGCAGCACAAATCCCACGCACCGCTACTACCTGGCCGTGGACCCGGTGAGCGGCTGGCTCTACCTGTCAGACACCAGTAGCCGGAAGATCTACCGCGTGCGCTCCGCTGCGGGTGACGGCGCCGACCCCGTGTTGGGCGGGGAGGTGGTGGCTGGCACGGGCGAGCAGTGCCTGCCTCTGGACGAGACGCGCTGCGGAGACGGCGGCAGGGCCCTCAACGCCTCTCTCGCCAACCCGCGGGGTAGCTGCCACCAAACCACACCGACGGGGTCACGCACGCCAGCTGTTCCACGATGCAGTCCTTAAAAACTTTGTTTTTTTTTTACTTTCCCCTTATTTTATCAGGTCGTACGCGAGACCGTGCATGACTTGCTGCTGACGTTCATTCGGGCATTTTGAGCTGCGAATATTTCATATGTTTTCACCACTTTAGCAAAAACATCTTGAATATATATTTACTCGCCTCCCCACCGTCCCCAATGTTATTCCAATTGTGCTATTGGCGTCATGTTATGAGACTGAGTATCCGTTCGGATCTCTCACAGAGCAGTGTGGCCCCGTGTGTCCAGAGATTGGCTGAAGAACAGATTTTAGTTTTTTTTTCCCCCCTATAGGAATTCTCCCGGAAAAAAATCATTCAAGTGTCCTTTTTAAGTCAAGAATAAAAAGCATTGACATCCGCTCTTCTCTCCACACTTGTATTCTACGTTAAGCTGACATACAGATCATGAGCTGGCCGTGCTGAAAAGGCTAAATCCGAGCTTAGCTCAGCCGTGCAAGAGCATCTTTAGGGCGCCACACGGCAGGTGTCAGGTCAAGGGAGAGAGGGGGGGTGTATGAGACACGGCCACCGCGGGCATTTAACAGGAATTGCTAAACAGCAGCGCGTTAAGTTGCGAGGGCAACGCTTCATTTTCAGCGCGACCTTTTACGGTGCGGCCAAACGTTGGCCCGAGTTGCGAGATAAATTCTGGGAGAGCGTCTTCTCGGAATGGAAGAAGACAAAATCCAATTTCGACGTCCAGCGCGGGCGTGCAGTTGGCGTGCTGTGAAAGGGGGGAACCTGCGCTCAGGCGAGCCACTTTGTGGGTTTCCCTCGCAGAGAGGTCAGCGAGTGTAACTTGCGAAGCAGTGTGGGGTTAATAAATAGACAAAAGTGTCAACCGGTGGCAATTGGGTGTGTCGGAGACAAAAGTGCTTTTGAAAAGTGTAATGTAAACAGCAGTTTGCACTCCACCAATATGGAAAAAGGAGCTCAAACTAAATTTTAATTGCTCTATAATAATCCGTTGAACCAATATGCGTCGTGGTGTTCCTTACAAGACTGCAAGTGTTTGAAATTACGTGTTGGTTGCTCCTCTAAGGATTTGTTTGTGTAACTCCCACTGACAGCACCCGCTGCTGCCTTGCATAGTTTATTACAAATGGAAGAGCTTGTGTTTGCACCGTGACTGCCAATGCTGTTTGATTTTGATTTTTTTTCCTTTTCCCAGGGATTGCTGTGGATAAGCATGGTTACATTTTCTTTGTGGATGGGTCAATGATCAGGAAGATTGATGAGAATGAAATCATTTCGACGGTGATGGGATTCAATGACCTGCAGGCTGGCCTCTCACTCAGCTGTGATTCCACCATGGAGATGTCGAAGGTATTGCACTCATTCCCCACACGAGGCATTTACGAGGTTTTTATATATTAATTTACTCGTTTATTTCTTGGCTTAGGTTTGTTTTTGTAGCTTCGTGGTTTAATACACAGCAATATGATGTCGCATTGTTGTCCGTGAGATATGTAAGATGATGAGAGTCCCGGGACGTTGCCTAGGCGTAATGGTGAGTACACTAGAGTTGCAATCCAGAGGTCGCTGGTTCATCCTCCCAGTGCAGCAGTTGAAACAAACGAAAACATATATACATTTTCCACCCTCAAGTTTATCCTGGTTGTGCTTTCGGCATCTGTCGAGGAGAAGTGCAGCCCGACGTGTGTGAGACAGCGGCGATTTTACGCAAAGCGACCTCTGAGTTTCCTTCAAGTGACCTCTAGACCTCACAGTAGAGGGCAGCGAGGTTGGGAAAGTTTCTTGAAGCTTCGCCACCTCTGTCCACCCAGCAGTATAAATGGGTAACACCATCTTCTGGGTTCTTTCGGTGAAGTCACGTAGAATGGGAACAAAATAATAAAAATAATAATAACAATAAAATTCTCGCGACATTTCGGCCACAACACAAGTAGCCTTCCTCAGGTGAAGAAACAGGACTGTCCAGAAGACAGCGCTGTCTTAATACACAGCGATACGATGTCTTCCGGACAGTCCTGTTTCTTCACCTGAGGAAGGCTACTTGTGTTGTGGCCGAAACGTCGTGAGAATTTTATTCTGTTATTATTATTTTTATTATTTTATTCCCATTCTACGTGACTTTACCGAAAGAACCCAGAAGATGAATCCCTGCAGTCACGAAAGCTTTAAATGGGTAATACCAGTTAGGTTTAATCGGCACTTTGCGTTCGGTGGGGGGTAAAGTGTGGGTACTCCCACTTCTCCCAAGACATCTGGACAATATAGAATAGAAGGCCTAAACACTCACTCACAGAGAGTATCCTGAAAACAATGGCACGCGCAAGACATTGGAGGTTGCACCCTTGTGTGTACAGGATGTTTGTTGAACTTCTTTCGCAGAGTACATAGCCAGCCGTGCAAATCGGAAGTGCGGGAGGGGGGGGAACAACAAACTAAACACAACAAACTAAACATAACAAACTAAACACAACAAACTAAACACCTATAACTATTAGAGGCTCAGGGTCCATGGCCATCTAGAGGAGGGCAGCCAAAAGCAGACAAACCCCAAGTTCCTGCAAGGGGAGCACGTGCGGGGAACCGAAATGCACGCCTACATCCCCGAGTCAATCACCACCACTGGCTCGCGTACGAATAGCCGATAAAAAAAAACAATAAGCGTTCGTCCACAGACAGTTTCCATTGGCCCAGCGGCTATTGGTGAGATATCACATCGGTAGCTGTTGGTAATTAGATGCTCGTTCTCCGACGACATGATGGGAAGCGTTTTCAGTCCCTCGAGAGACGGTGTGGGAAATTGCATTAAACTTCCTTGACGGCAGGATAGCACCCGTGCCCGTGGCAACTATCCCACCCTGGGTCAAGAATCGCCCGTCCACAAATGACTGGACAATGAGCACCTTGTCAGCGAGGGCCCACGAATGTTGACCCCTCACGGGCCTGTTTCTTTGATGAAGACATCTTGCGTCCGCCGGGAGCCCCGCTGCAATGTTTCTGCGGAAATAGATTATATGCATGCATGTATGTATGCATGCATGTATATATGTATGTATGCATGCGCAGTAGTAGTATGCAACGTTCGTGTTGGACAACAATGTGGCATTTCATGTGCCATTTATGCTCACGTGGCTGCTTGGCCGATGCTTGCAAAATGCTGAACTTTCACATTGGTGCAAGTATAGCGTCTAAAAATGATCTGCGTTTTGTTTATGCATTGTACGGTCAGACTTTCTTTGTGCATGGACATCTGGTGCATAGCGGAGCAGTAGGTGTAACCTGTACGCATGTACAGTGGGGGTGGGGGGGGCATTGTAAAGGGAAGGGCTGTGTACCTACGTGGTATGTGAGGCATGAAATCGCACAAGCTTTGGTCTACAATTTCACGGTAGCAGTTCATGCTGCATGCGGCACATGCATCGCACGTTCCCTTTAGCAAGTGCGTGTTTCATAATGGATTTTTTTTCGCATGCACACCTAAACATTTGCATTCAACAGGCCTCGCGTTATATACATGCGAGCATTACGATAGCATTGCTCCCGAATCCTATCACAATATAATAATCTGAATCGCAGCTTATTTTAGATGGATGTAAAGAAACGTATTTCCTAATACAATATAGTCCCAAGACGGCAAAATGTTACTTTTTAAAGGCACTGCCAAAGTTGCCAACATTAGCATGCTGTTACATCGCTCCTCTTACATGTGTATTGACCGAATCTTTCACTTTCAGGTGCATCAATCATTCAAAACTATTCGTGCACTCAAAAACTAATTTTATTGTCACGCCATTGAGTCGGTAATTATACGCTTGCTTATTTTTTTGTCAACATTCATTTTATTGTGTAAATACAACAGCACCTGTGTCGTAATTTGAGAGGAGAGCTTTTTTTTTTATAATTCCCTGCATCTCCCCTACGAGCTTTGGGATGTAAGCGTGATTAATAGGAGGGCACCCATTGAGCACCACAACTACACCCCCAAGCTCCGGTAGACAAACGAGGGGCATAACAATTAATCAACCTCCCCCCCCCCCCCCCCCCCCTTCATGCCACTGGCAATTCCATAAATTGTCAGAAATCCAGGCCGCTATTGGATTCAAGAATCAATTCTTATTTTTGTCTCCCCTTTAGCTGCATTCAGGTGCAGACTATTGCACCTCGCTTGTTTTGTTTCATTCGACGGCTCTATGATTAACAAAGCGGCAACTTAACCAGCCATATATAAATGAGCTCTTTGAGTATGAGATCTGCTCCATGCAGGCTGTGGTCTGACATACGCTTATTGTGCTGTATACATATAACACCTCGCGTACGAACATTAAAATTCCGTCCACGGTGCTGTTCACAGATCCGACTGGAGTGGCCTACGGCCTTGACCATTAGTCCTCTGGACAATTCCCTCTACATCCTGGACAACAACGTCGTACTGCAGGTGACAGAGGACCACCAGGTCCGCGTGGCCGTGGGCCGCCCCGTTCACTGCCCGTTCCACTCGACCGAGCAGCCGTGGCCGATCCGCGCGGCTCGCCACGCGACGCTGCAGGCCCCGACGGCCCTCGCCGTGTCGCACGCCGGCGTGCTCTACATAAGCGAGACGGACGAGAAGAGGATCCACCAGGTGTGGCAGGTGTCCAGCGATGGCGAGATGTCGCTGCTCGCCGGCGCCACCGTGGACTGCGACTGCAACGGCGACCTGAGCTGCGACTGC